ACTACTTCAATATCATCGATTAGTATCATGCAATCACATGAAGCTGAAAGCAGTCCACTATCACTGACCCGTACCAGAGATATTCTAGCACGGAGGGCCTCCGCCGGAGGCTGTTGCCGAGGATAACTGTTTATTTCTGACCCGATCCGATTCGGAGAATCTCTAGCACAGCAAGTTCCACAGACCGTGAGATCTTGGCGACTCGATATATCGATAGGATGAGCCAGATACATCCATTCAAAACTCGGATTCAGCATATCATTGTCGTCCGGAGTCAGATTTTTGCATTGGAATTTTGCAACCACCGTTATGATTACAGTAATCAGATTACTGGAGCACCGTTCTTGTACACGCAATCGCACTTGCTGCCATTCTTGGGCAGGCGAATTTCCTCCCTTCCTTCGAAGAAAGGGAGACAATCGGAGAATCCTGCAGCCACGCGAGCATGGGAGCGATGGGCTCGTATGGATATGGCTTCATAAGAAATAGTAAATTCTCACCTCTTAGCCTAAGAGGTAAATTCTCACCCCTAAGAGTCTTAGGGGTGAGAATCTACAACTGATCCTGTAGACTACATGATGATCGACAGTCGGATATGTGCTCAGAGCAGTGCCATTCGGTACCAGAAAGCCCACGATCGACCCAGCTGCGGCGTCGAATGTGAAGTTCATACGGGAGGAGCCAGATATGTTTGCTTGGGATAGAACGGACGAAAAATCTAGGAACCCCATGTCAATCAACAGGAACTGATCACAGATCAACAGAAAATTGAGGAAAACACAACTTCGATTATTTTCAAGATATCGGCTGATCAGGCAATCAGGCCCAACACCAAGTGTTATACAGGTACAGTTATGTATAATACAGCAGCTAGCGGTCACCCATAGATGGGTAACTCAGTGCCCAGAAAGAATGACAGTAAGCGGAATTGTGCGAGTTGTGGCTTCGCTAAATGATAGTTCGTACTCAGTGATAGTCGACATTCTTCCGACTCCGTAGAAGAGTGCCAACTACAAGGCTCTACCCCTACTTTGACGAAGAAGAGTATCCCCGTTGTCGATTAAAAAGTATGTTGATATGCACAATTATTGGATAGTCGACAGCTAACCGGGGATCGCCAGAAGAGATCAATACTTCATGAGCGGCTCATGATGAGCCCCCTCCTGCTCCGTATAATCATCTCCAACGCCTGCTCATGCTATTGATGAGAGTATCTTCGTCAAAATTACAATAAATTTTCTTCACTCGCTCCACAAATGCTGCTTTGGCCGAGTAGGGACTTTCTGCAATAGCTGCCGAGTGTAAGCGACGATTCAGATCGTAATCGACGTTTCTACGCATGCCAAGTCTGGGCTTCTCGGAGAAA